GCATAAATTTTCCTGTAAAATACGTTGAAGCGAAAACCAATTAAATACTTCCTTGTTTTATTTAAAAAGGAAAAGTATGAGAAAGGGAGTCGCCGAAGGACGGTCATCCAAAGTTGCTTTAAGTAAACAAGCCTTAACCTCGCTCGAAAAAAATGGTTTCAAATTCGTACTAGTGAAGGGACTGACGCAGGACAATCATTACGATCATGTAGACCCTCATTACCTGGTGTTGGTGCCGGTAAAAGAACTGCCTGTCGATCCATCACAGAAAGACATTTATGCTCCGATAGGCAGTGATATATTGCGCGAATGGGCCGATGAAGGCTCCGGAGTAGAAGTCGTAATTGCCCGGAGTATCGCAGGTTTACCGGATTGAACAGACGCATTATCCATATCGCCACGGCACTTTGATACAAGGTGCGACCCATTGCCATTCCACTGATTTCAAAAAGAATATGGCAGTACGCTCCAAATTCCTTACCTTTGAGGCGATAAATTTGAGTTTTATAGCGCTTGTAAGTGAACACTAATTCGCTCCCGCCCTTTCTTACACCTGCATTTTTCTCAAGTATTCTATCATTTAAAGCCGTGAGAGGTATTTCTATGGCTAATTGCTGAAACCAATTCTGAAAAGGTAAAAAAACAACCCGGATAAGGGAGTTAAAGTTGTTTTGTGGGTATAAGCATAGATGAAGGAATTGTTAGTATAATACCGGTTCGATTGCCATAGGAAACATAAATAATAGCGGGAAATTAAATTTTGAGCAATAATCATTTTTCATTTTCATAAATTTTTATAAGAAGTATGACACCAGAAATGATCGAAAAATTTGTATCAACAAAAGTCCGTAAAGGTTCTTCAGTAAATATCCATTTCAAAGATCGCAATACAGTAACCGGTCTTTTCATTCATGGAAACGATTACGAAGAACTGAAATCAAAAAATTTCTGGCGTATAGTTAGCCATCATCATGCTGAAGAGTGGAGAAAGACAAACGATGTGAACCTGGCCCGTTTATATAAC